TTTCAATATACAATACCAATGCACAATGATACCAATGATCTGCAATGGATGGTCAAGCTAAGATCTGCACTTGGTACTTACGTGTAATTTCTCATTTCATTCCTGAAATACTGTGAGTGTGTGTTAACGCAGCCGAGGCTCTTCCTGCAGGACAGGGTCCCGAGGGCCCAGGACGGCCCCAAACACAGACAAGCCCGGGCTTGCCATGCCGGCTGTTGCTATGAGGACACACTGCGCTCTCCTGCTTTTAAACACCACTGCCACACATTTCTTCAGGCATGCAGTGTTGCAGCACGGCTTTAATGATCAGACAATTCTGAAGGATTATTAAAAAATGAATATTCATGACTGGCTTGAACGATTACGTGAAAAAAAAAGATTACTTGACTCAAATAAACCATTCGAACATTTGATTCGGACATCTTTACTTGTGTATCTTTGCGACGGAGCTGTGTGTGCAGTTAGCAGTGGACAGAGTAAAGGATATCAGAATAAAAGTATTTGTAAGATTGAAAATCAAATGAAACATAAATATTGGAATAGAAGTAGAAATATGACAAATCCGCTCATGTGAATCTTATGAAACCAGTCAAGATCATGTTCGGATATAATTTTCACGACAATTAAGCATATTTTCCAAATTCTCTTTACTGATTTTTTTTTCAATTGTAACATAAAAATTCATGTTTAATTTGTTGTAAAACATGAACACTACTACATGAATAAAAATAATTTCATTAAAAACGAAATAATGTATGTTTACACACACACACACACACACACACACACACACACACACACACACACACACACACTCTCTCTCTCTCTCTCTCTCTCTCTCTCTCTCTCTCTCTCTCTCTCTCTCTCTCTCTCTCTCTCTCTCTCTCTCACACACACACACACACACACACACACACACTATTTTGGTTTAAACAACTTTAGAATGTCTGATCTTCTCAACACAAACAACAAAAATAAATCCTTTCAGTAAAGCCACAATCACTCAAAGCATTAAAAAAGGCTCTGCAAATGTGTTGTGCATGTGTTCATTTGTGTGTGTGAGTAAAAAGCTCTGTCCCCGATGCTCTCGATCAAACATGCCAACATGATCAAACATGCCTGCACAGGCCCGGATAATGAGCACAGGTCACATGATCAAGCTACTGCGCTCTCAGCCAATGACTGCCAGTCCTGCAGTCAGCCACGCTCCGCAGATTACAGGAGGAGCACTATGAGGTGCCCCTAGGGACATTATTCAGAATTACCTTGCATATACATGTACTTTTCCTCTCACATACACATATAAAACCAAATTCATTCACATACTATAATGAAATTCTCACACACATACAAGTGAAATGCTTTGACAACCACAACTGAAACGCTCTCATACATACAACTGAAAATATTACGCTCACACACACAACTGAAACGCTCACACACACACAACTGAAACGCTCACACACAACTGAAATGCTCTCATACATACAACTGAAAATATTATGCTCACACACATAACTGAAACGCTCACACACACACAACTGAAAATCATTTCAGTATGTTATATGCAAGCATTTCAGTTGAAAGGTAAGGTGGTTAGAGTCCCCGCCCACTCCAGCAGGGTTGCCAGATGCCAAGGTTTTCCATCACAAAACCTCGCCAAAAACTGCGAGAATGCACAAAAAAACGCCCAAATTTGTTTTGGCTTGTTTCTCGTTTAAACACAGTGAAATCATTAGCAAGCTTCAAAATTACCCATGGTCCCTGTACTTTTGCGTCCATTCGTTTTCCCCTTTTTAACCCGTGATTGAAAAACGAAAAATGGTTGTTGTAGGCCCTATTTTTAAAACGCAAAGTTGAACACCAAAATTTGAATTTGAACTGTAGCCTATACACCAAATGCTACGCAAAAAAATAAACGTTGAAGTATTTTCCGATTTTTGTATGTGACTTTTTGCCCCTTTATTAAACATTTAAAATATTCACAAATTAATATGCAAAAAAATTTATTTTACTGGTTTTCTAACTAAGGCCAAACCAGGAAATGATATTTTTCCCGCAGTGCTGAATGAAAAGAGCCATAGCCTACTCTCTAACCATACAGAGAGGTGATTTAGGCTATAGGTGATCTGAAAAAATAACGAGGCTATACCTCCATCTCCGCTGTAAGGATGGGTCTTTAGAGAGAAATTCATATGGATTACATTATCAGACGGTATTTGCTTTCGATTCGAATTGGTTCTTTAAAAGTGGACATTTCAAGCTTTAGCCTACATAGGCTATATTTTGTTTCAGTTCATTTTTGAGACGCGATCACGGAGACCATGAAAGCTCGCCTGATTGTTTTATTTTATTTTACAAAAGCACAACGTTTTCTTGTTATTGTGAGTTTACACAAATAAAAGTAGTTGCGAATGATGTATTATTATTTTCTGTATGACCAGAAATTATAGAGTATTTTAAGTTGTTTCCACTGCTGATAGGAAAACGCAAGTGTTCGCGCCTCTGTGCCATGCAGTGCGCGCTCCACACTCGCACAAACCCTTGGATAAGCGTCACAATCTTTTGTTTATTTGTAATAATCTTAGCCCTGTATTATTATTGTCTAACCTGTATTATGACTGACATTTGATAATTGGTAATTTCTTGAATTTTCTAAATAACAACATTTACATCTTTAAAGTCATTTTTTTTGGGGGGGGGGGGGGCTCAGTATAATATAATAATAATTAAAAGAAAAGACTTCACATATAAAAAAAAAAACTGTAAAAAAAACATTTCAAAAACTGTAAAATGTCAGGTTATATAAAAAATAAAACATTAATAAATTATTTTATGAGAAACATAATTACTGTCTTAAGTGAACTCATTTATAGTTATAACCGCAAATAATAATTGCCATTATTATTATTATTATTATTATTATCCTACATTTAGGCTAGAAGACGGTTTTATCCAAAAAAGGAACAAAGCATTCGTCAAATGTCAGTCATAATACAGGTTAGACAATAATAATACAGGGCTAAGATTATTACAAATAAACAAAAGATTGTGACGCTTATCCAAGGGTTTGTGCGATTGTGGAGCGCACACTGCATGGCACAGAGGCGCGAACACTTGCGTTTTCCTATCAGCAGTGGAAACAACTTAAAATACTCTATAATTTCTGGTCATACAGAAAATAATAATACATCATTCGCAACTACTTTTATTTGTGTAAACTCACAATAACAAGAAAACGTTGTGCTTTTGTAAAATAAAATAAAACAATCAGGCGAGCTTTCATGGTCTCCGTGATCGCGTCTCAAAAATGAACTGAAACAAAATATAGCCTATGTAGGCTAAAGCTTGAAATGTCCACTTTTAAAGAACCAATTCGAATCGAAAGCAAATACCGTCTGATAATGTAATCCATATGAATTTCTCTCTAAAGACCCATCCTTACAGCGGAGATGGAGGTATAGCCTCGTTATTTTTTCAGATCACCTATAGCCTAAATCACCTCTCTGTATGGTTAGAGAGTAGGCTATGGCTCTTTTCATTCAGCACTGCGGGAAAAATATCATTTCCTGGTTTGGCCTTAGTTAGAAAACCAGTAAAATCTATTTTTTTGCATATTAATTTGTGAATATTTTAAATGTTTAATAAAGGGGCAAAAAGTCACATACAAAAATCGGAAAATACTTCAACGTTTATTTTTTTGCGTAGCATTTGGTGCAGGGCTTGACATTAACTTTTTGAGGCACTTGTCCTTAGGACAAGTAAATTTATGTTTCTCTTGTCCATGCACAAAAGTCACTTGTCCGGGTAAAGATTTATAATTTTATCTAGGGCTGCACGATTTGGGGAAAATGTCATATTGCGATTATTGAGTTCAATATTGCGGTTGTGATATGCAATTGCGATATAATAAACAAATGGTTTCATGAGTCAACTTGTTTGGTTCTAAACCAAATGCACACACAGATTAGTGATAATTCTGAAATTAGCAATAACAACTAAATGATTGATAACACCTATAATGATCAATAAGCCATTGATGTCTGGATAAAAATTAACTGTCTAACAGGTAGGACATATACAGAAGTTGAATAAAGTTATCAAACAGTCTGGGCTGCATAAATTATAAATTATATATAGACTACTACTTATTGAAGCTACACAAGTTCTTTAGTCAAGAGCAGTGAGTAATTTTCTCTGTTCCCTTTGTTCTTTCAGTAACTTTACTGACAGAACGCTTTAT